ATGTTGAATTTTGTGTCAGAATTGAAAACGGTTACATCTGATGATAATGAAATAAAAGAAATACAGAGTTAACAGATCTCATAATGTCAATTGAAGCATATTGATGTTCAATCAAAATGTTTTTTTCTCTAATAACGGTTTATGAACAAATATCACTAGTGGAACAAACTGGTTTCTATGCTCCATGATGATCTTTGATTTGAAGAATCTCTATGGCGTGATATTGAGGGTGTGACTATCCACAGAGTACAATATTCTCTCAAAAATCCATACTCTTCATGAAGTCTAGTGAAAATTGTTGAAGTGTCGAAGCTCTTACTTTCCATCCTATGCATCAATATGAGGTGGGCTCGAAAAAGTCGTAAATAGTTCATTAACCATAAGTCGATCAGTTGTTTTGAAAAGACTTATTTGAAAATATCAGTTCGTAACAAAGAATTTGACAAGAGTTTCTCAGATCGACATTATTACCAGACCTTGATATACGTATATTATATATATAGTGATTATATCAGTCACTTCTAGTAGCAGCACTTCTTTCGTAGTTCACATGTTAATATTGTAGGAATCTAGCTAAAGGTAACATTTTATTGCTTTCTATGGAATATTGATGTACTGCTAGAAGAATGTCTAGATCCTCAATTAACTATTTCAGAGTTATCGATCGGTAAGATATTCATCATTTAAAATGGTAATGAGTCTTTTATTCAATGAGACACATGAAAATATTTACTCATAAATTCATTTCACAATTTCTTAGATGTACCATTAATACTTTGAGATAATATGATATTCAAAACGAAGAAAATAACTTTTTCTCCATTATTAAAGAGGTTTCAATAATTACCTATTGAATCTATGAATTATATTCAGAATTTTCTCAAATTATGAACAAATATTTTTCAAAGTTCATTCAATGTTTCTTCACCTATGATGATCAACGAACAAACAACGTTGAAGCGGGTACTGTTGTTGATCTTCATATAACACATATATCTCAATTTGATTTTTACTTATGTTCACAAGCGGCTATGTAAGTTTTTTGAACTTTTACATTATAACATCGATATACTGTTTTTTCTCTCTTGAAAAGAATGGAAACACCACGTCCGGCACTTTATCATGTGCTCCATGATGAAAATGGTTTTCGCAGTGACAATATTCAACAATTAACATATTGGGTATGAAGTTTTTATTTTCTTAAAAATCTTTAAACAACACGAAATGATAAATAATTATTATGTTTTTTTTTATATAGCTTTGTCATACAGATGTTCGATGTTCGAAATCAGTTTTAATTCCAGCTCCAGTACATTATGGTCCTTTAGCTGCGTATGCTTTCAATGCATACTAATTTGATCATAGCAAGGATGAAAATGTGAAAAAGTATTTAACAAATTATTATAATGACTGTTTTCTAATTGCTTATTTCTATTGTTTTTAGCGAAGATGATAAAATTGCATCGGAAACAATCTCACTTGAAGATATACGAACACAAGTGATGATACTTGATAACAATATACAAGATACAATATGGTTCGTTTAAGTAAAAAAAGGCAGATTTTATTTCTATAAATGTGCAGTTCTTTTTGTGTATTTCTTCTGTAAAAATCAAAAAAGTAAATGACTGAAGAAAATAAACGTTCAATGATAGGAAAGAAATTTTTGTGAAAATTTTCTGTCGAACTTCCAATACTCACAGGCAACATTCACACTCTTCATAAAAAAAGAAGTACATGTTGATTTTTGACTATATACATCTCGTCCCGAGAAAATCTCTTTAACTGAGCACTAGATAATTTAGCGCTTGAAACATTACTCTAGTTAAAAAAACACCACTAAATTGAGTAATTAAGAATCTGAATCACGTCTGTTAACATATGGTTACATAACTTTGATGAATAAAGTACTTTAAGTTCTTCATCGATCAATATTTATCATACAGACAGCTCTAGTAATGAAAAAATTGTCATACTTTTTACTCAAGAAATGAGCAGCCATCAATAATATTTAAACAATAAAATGCGTTGAGTCCGTTGAAAAATAATATGTAAATTGTTAGTTGTTTTTACAATTTTTAACATTTTATCGTTTCGTATATTACATTAAAAATTTCGTTAATCTGTTGTCGTTTAAAAATACTAGACTAAAGAGAACAATTTAAAGAATGAGTATACCGAATGATAGACTATTAACAAAACTTTTTTAGCAGATGAATCTTCTATAATAGTATTTGTATGAGCTTTTTCTAGATTAGTATCTATCGAACTGAATCATTGCCGATTAAAATCGACTGAATGTGAGGATGAAGATCTTCTCTTTACCATTAAAATCGTTGCTCATCGTCATCTCACACAATTCTCTATTTTTTAAACAGTCTAAAATTATGTATTGTCACTTATTCAACTCACTCATACAGACGTACTGATGAATAAATGTCGTTGCCAGCATAGGATGAGCGGTGTGAAACTTTTAAAAGCATATGGAAATGATTTCAAGACGATGATCAGAAAACTTGTGAATCAAGCGTGTTTTGTGGTCATACGTAAAAACTGTCTATATAAGTTTTCTATCGCATAAACTAATTGCGAACAGTTCCGTGCTTCTTACTCTTCCTTATTCTTTTGACTCTAATCACTTCTTGAGTTAGGTTAGTTCTAGATTCGTTTGTATGACATCAAAACAAATATTTAAGTTCGATCTCCTTGCGTTAAGCATGAGAGGATAATAAACTTCTTCACTATCATTTTACCAGTTACAATTTTCTTTCTGTTTGGATGTTATTTGAATCAATAGTAAGGATCATTTTTAAATGTTTACTCGTGATTTTACGGTTTGGGGCACCGTAAGGATGTATTATTGAAAAGTGATTTTTTTTAAAGTTATGTTATCATAAACTGTTAAAAGTTAAAATGTAGAGTTACTAAATGGCTGATGACGGCTACTTTTATATATATCTATTTTCAACATAAACATAAACTACCCAAAGAAAATACTTGTGGTTGGCCTTCTCATCAATGGACGTCATGTCAGTATTTTTGTATAAATCCTCAGCAAGATTCGTTCTTTAAACTGATTTGGTAATTGATACATCTCAATCTATTTCTTTTTGTAAGTATTGGTTATGAATAAACTTAAAATAATTCGTTGAACACTCAATTTTTTCGAATTATGACATATTTCCCTTCCGAGAGAAAATCCTCGGATGTGTTTCTGGAATTTCAACACAAATTATATCAGTTTGTCCAGGTAAGTGCTCTGACCCACAAATCTAAAATAATTGACGGCTGAGACTGGTTGAATAAAAAAAAAAAGTTTCAGTTAAAACGCTTATTGACTAGATTCTAAAATGAAACGAGATTGAATTTTTCAATAAAAAGTATTCGAAAAAAATGTTAAAGTGCTCTTAAGTAGACTCAACTTTGCTGCTGATTGATAATGTTCGGGTGTGGGTAGGTTTATCAGTATTAGTAAGAATATGACGAACATCAATGGACATCTCAATGGCTGAGGATGTCCTGTAAATATTCATCCATATATCAATAGAGATCCTAACAGTGTTCTTATCGTGTGGAAAAAAACACAGAGCATTTCTTTTTGAAGTAGTCTTTCAGCTTCTAATCAATGGTTTGTTGTTTACGCGTATATAGATTTATTGAAATCAAGAAAAAAATGCTACATCTTATTGCTGAAGTATTAAAAATCAATAAAAATATTAGAAAAAAAAATTGCATGAATAATTTATTCACTCTATATCATGATATTGTCCAATTTATATTCAATCGTTTTGTTTCTCTTTTTACTGATGTTTTCTGATATTGTTGCAAATATTTCTATGAATAAAAGAACTATAGTTCGGAATTCGACGTCTACGACAATTGAGATCGGATGTCCAATCATCACTACCAACACAATTTGTGCATACGAAGAGTCCGAATGGATCGTATTTTTCTTTTATACATTTCAGTTGATTATAAATAACTTTCGAGCCGAAAAATTTCTCTTGCCAATTCACTTCATTTGGATCAGCTTCATTAGTATAGGAGGTTGGGTGTGAACCAGCAGGCAATAATTTGTCTAACATTGCTGTTCGACGTAAGACTTGTGCAGCTAAGTAGTTTTGCTCAGCTTTGGGTGTTGTATCTAACCAACTTTGAGTACAAATCATATGAAGAAGAGCTGTACGCCATCCAGGATTAACACTGTTATTTTTGTTGGTTCTATTTGATACCTGTCCACCGGCTACAAAACTTCCACGAAGATTCGATCCAGTATTACTCTGACCTTTCGCCTGGACAAAGACTTTTGCGACTTGATGCGGTTTCCTTCGTATTATACTTTCTGGAATAAGTCGTGAGCCCACTAGAAAATCAGAGCCAGTCGGATTATTTGGTTCCAATATAAGGGCAAAGTAGTAATAAAATGATGGGAAAACAAAACTATTGGTTGCTGCGAAATCTAAATCACTGTTCTTGGCCGCAAATTGATCCAATGTAGCATTGAGTGCAGCCCAATCTCCATTAGGTACATGAACTAAAAATCTTAGTGTCAGATCAATTATATCGAAATAGCCAGACCATCCAGCATCGGCTACTATTGGTAAAATTTCAATGAAGCTTTCAATCAATTTTGCATAGCGAACTGGATTTGATGCACTGACTGAACATGTTGCAGCAACTATATACGGCGATGAAAAAGTTCGTACAACAGCAGAAAGTACAATTGCATAAGTACCTCCACCTCCACCGCTTAATGCCCAGAATAAATCACCATTTTGACATGCGTTTATCGTTTGACGTTGTCCATCTGCAATTACAACATCGTATTCAAGTACTTGATCAGCAGCCATACCTTTCCAACGCGATAGTGGACTGTGGCCACCGCCTTGGAGGTAACCACCAACTGCACTCACCGTACCTGATGCTGCACCGATTGCTACCAAATTGAAGTTACTCAGCAATCGATATACTTCACCCCATTGGACACCTGCTTCTATACGAATAGCATTTGATACATTGGTGAAACCACAAGATGAGTATTGTTCAATCAGTGTCATGTTTTTCATGTGATGAAGCCATAAAAGTAGAGATCCAGCTGCTGTTGATCGACCTAAAAGATCATGTCCTGTACTTTTGATAACTAAGCGAAGATTGTTCATCACAGCAAATCGAACAGTTGCTTGAACGTGTTCAGGCAATATTGCGTCAACAGCCAGCACCGGTACAGAACCTTGATTACATGTTGAGCTATTTACAAAAATTGAACATAAACTATTTTCCCAATTATGAAATTGCATTGTACCAACTTGATCACTGCGCCACGCCGCGTTTGTCCATTGTGCTTTGGCTATATTACAAGCCATAGCATTATATGTTCTTCCATTACATACAGCAGCTGATGGTTCAGGTATGACGAGACGACCATCAATAGATTCATTAAACATTTGCCAAACGCTAGCATTTGGCCAACACGACGAATCACTTGCTAGACAACGGCAACGACGTTCTCCTAAACGATAACGTTATTTAACTATTATAAATGAAATAATTTTATATGAGTAACATACTTGCTATTGTCAATTGTTGATTAAGAATTATCATCATGAAGTACAAGAAAATGTAGACAGAGTGTATGTGCATATTTTGATAAATTTCTGTTAGTAGGTGTGTTACCTTCATATATATCTATTAAGAATACATATACAGAAATTGCAATTTTTTGATAAGATTGAAATTTTCGCTGTATTTGCCTAATTACTTTTCTTCTATTTCACCGATTTGGACAACTTATTTTTTATGGCTCACTCTTCTCTGAGTGTTCCACTCCTACACAGAATGTTAGCTCTTTAGCTCATACCATCAATTATCTTTTGGATCTTCTTGTGAAAAATTATCTTTTAAGGAGAGATGTGCAACGAAAACGAAATTTTCTAAGCACCAAAAGAAAGAAAAACTAGATAATAAATAGTCTATTTTGTAGAGCCTTAGCAGTGCGCTTAAATTTTATCATAGATATACTTCTTAGAGTTGTATAGCAATCATTCAAAAATTCATCTCTCTATCTCTTATCGTTTTCGAAAAATGTATATTATATCATGAAATGAAGATAGAGGATATGATTGTAAGTGAATACAAGACCTATAGCAACACTCAGATCCTACACAAAGCTAATCCATACTCATTTTCGAACATAACTGTTTTTACTGAGAGATTTCGAAGCTACTTGATTCTTGAAGATGTATGTGAAAATACCTAATATGAACATCTCCTCTACTCATTCATACTCAAGATATTCTGATAATTAAAAGTTCTGTATACGTCAACTTCCGTTTGCAATATTTGTTGATGAATCTCTAACAAACGAATATGTCTTTCAGCAACATTGTGCTCCGCACTAGAATTTGAATTGAAACCATGCGAGTATGAAAGTGTCCTAGTCTTTAACATGTTTAGTATAGTATCGTCGGATAACTAATATCGATCATCTAGACAATCTTAAAATTCTTTACAATATGAACTTTATCTAAAATTTAAGCGTCAAAAGAACGTTATCGATGTCATATACAAAAAATACTGTAGTTCCGCATGATTTTTATTGATAATCAAGGAAGGAAAGATTGAGATTTTGATTGCCAATCATTTCTTCGATTGGAATCAGCTCAGTCCCCCTTATTCATAATTTCGCTCAGTATGTAGTCTCTTATACACAAAAAATAGTCATAATTTTAAAAAAACGTCCAGATCGGAAGAAAACTTTGATGTATATAATAATGTTTTTTTAAGTTTTTTTTGAATTTTCGTTCGTCTTATTCGAAAAAATTGAATTTATTTGTAAAAAAAAATTAGCAATAAAACTTTTCCTGACTACGATATCTAAACCCAATGATCATCAAGTCTCGATCCAAAAATCTGTATCAGTCCGATCTATTTCCAGAAATTCTCGGACCCTATAAATTCTGGTTGTGACACAAAAATAAGTACTCGATCTTAAAAAACTTTTAATATTTCGTATCAATCTTCAGTGATGATCTTCTTACGGGAAATAAAAAAAAAAAGTAAAATCTGATTTTAATTAGAGTTGTTCATTTATCTTTACTTATAAAAAAAAAGTAATTACTTTCTTTATGTTTGTCAAATAAAGATAAAATAAATAATAAAGAAAAATATTTTCTATGATAGGTAAATAGACAAATATCACATGTAGAAGGAGGATAAGTTGATCAATATTCTTTCTTACCACCAACATCACTTTGATATGTGATGTTATTAAAAAATCGAACTGATCTATGGAAAAATCTGTTGTATATATTTCACTACTATCTACCGTATCATAACTTTTATCAACTAATTGGTAAAAATTAAAGATCAGATTCTGATAGAAAAAAAAAAAGATTTCTTCATTATTTTACCAAGGTGGATAAAATAAATCCTTTATCTATATTCTATAAACATAAAGATTTTGTTTATATTTACTCTTTATTATAAATAAAAATATAGTAACACTCCTAGTTTTAATCGGCTATTTTATCAAGAATTGATTACAATCAAATGGAATACATCTTTCAAATTTAAAATAAGGTTTCTATAAACTCAATAAAAAGACAAATGAGTTTAAACCATTTTGTCGGCACTATGTTCATGATGTATTGAGTCTGAAAAATTATTCAGAAATTTGACAGACTACATTAAAAATTAAGAGAAATGTATTGTGTGATCATTCTGATTCAAATTGATTATTAATTAAATAATCTGATTAAAATCACAATTTTGCTTTTTTTTTTACATGGGTTGTATAGTTTCTTGTCACTCAGCTCATTATCATTATTTATTATCTATTCCATCTGAGTATTAGTACCATACACTCCAACACATCCCAATCCACTTTTACCGTCGCTTCACTTGAAGAGATTATTAATTGATAGACTTTCAAATTTTCCAACTATAAGAATCCGTATCAAGCCGTTTTGTTTAAATACAAGAATTGAATATTATTTATATGTGCCTACTTCAAGCGTGGGTTAGAATAAGTTGGAATAGCCTGAAGTCGTTCATAAAAATAATTATTGGCTCTTTTATCAAAGAGGTTTTTTTTAAAGAAAATGGTTTGATGTGGATGTCATGAATGGAAAACTCGAAGAATTTGAGATTGATAACTTCTTCAAATTGAAAGGAGTATGTTCGAGCATATATTACTAATCCTAATTCTATTGCAAAATCTCTTGAAATAGGAGAGTTTTTAAAAATCTATCATAAATTTCCTATTGCTACTGATACAAGGGAATAACTAGGGTGTTGCATTACCATTACTAGTAATAAAATAATAAATTTGAGAAATAAGAAAAGTACTCATTAATGAAATTCATATTTTCTCTTACTAATACAAGTAATATGTAATAAATAATAAAAGAAATAATAATTCTTGATGATTAATACTTATATGTAATTACCACACTAAAGTAATACAGTAAAAAGAAACAAATCATGGTAATATATAGTATCCCTATAAATAATATTTAAAATTGCACTCTTCTGTACTTTGTATATTACAATATATTATATGACGCCTAATAAATTGTAAGAAAGAAAAGAAAATAAGAAGGGTTTGTGTTTATCGTATTTGAAAGATAAATGTACAAACAACAAGATAATCACATGTTTCTTCTAAAGACAAAATTATTGTCTCAATTTTTGCTTGTAACGAGAAGGAAGAAAAAGAAATATTTCATCAAAAATACATAATCATAGAAAATGGTAAAAAAAAGAATAAAGACAATTTTTTTATTATAAACTGAATGATCTTCTATAGGCAAAAACAAATCGTCGACATACCTGTTTGCTAGTTTCAATTGTTCTTTTATGGCTTTTTCATTATCCAACCACGTAAATAAACACGTCATTCTTTTTTATACAAAAAACAAAATCATTTTAAAAAGCCATGCAGCTTTTTACTTTTGTATAATTTTCTTAGCACCAAATTCTTTTATGTCAAAGATGGTTAACTCGTTTTTTCAAAAAAAAAATTGATAAAATTTAATGTTATTCTAATGTACACAATTTGTATATAACAGCTTTTACTCTTTTAGTTGCACAGAGATAAGATTTAGTAAGCATAATTCTCTGTTAAAATTTCAACGAAATCAAATAATACATTCAATTGTACAGAAATAATAATGTTCAGGATTCTTAATCTTCATCATAAATGTGATAAAAATACAAAAAAAAAAAACAACAACAGTTATTGATAATAATGTCGTTCAGAAACATATTCTTCATTGTACAGTATTTTAAATTTTCTATGTACATGTTTCTAGTTATGAAATTAATAATAATTCTTATTACATCAAAAAAATTAAGGAGAAGTAATGTCTTCACAGAAAAATTAAATTACTACACAACTAACAATATGCTTTGAATATATTTCGAACGATATTATTCTAAATAACTATCATCAATGAATATCGTTATCTCTGAAAATTAGAATATATGATTTTATTTCGTGAATAGTTAAACAGAGAATATGCTAACTATTGGATGTCTCTATGTAATAAAACCAAAAAAGAAGAAAATATTAATATAATTACTTTCCTATGTATAATTTATAACATTCATTCTCGAGTCGAGCATTAAAGAAAAGTTCACTGATGAAAAAATTAAGACTTTAGACTTATTTAAAACTGAAAAATAAATATTATCTAACTAATTTATATTGAAGAAGAAATATATCTCTATCTATCTTATCGACGAATTAATCGTTGAAAATAAGAAACATATATTTTAACGCCATTTGGATCTAATTATCTAAATAAATTGAAATATTAGATAAAAATAAAATAAAATAAACTTATGCTAGAAAAGAAGTATTCATGCATATTAAGTAAGAGATACGTATTTATTATTTGCTGAGTAATATCTTTGACAAATAATGTAAATAACTATATTGCAAAGTTGATAAGCTAGCTTTAAACGATATCATAGGATCACGAATATATTCAATGATAAACTGAACTATTGATAAAATAAACATATATGTTACTATTTTCTAAAGAAATGTAAATGCATAGATAATATTATAATCAACAAAACGACCCATACTTATTTATTCTTTGATTGTAGAACCAACGCATTGTTAAATTTCATAATCACAAAAATAATTGTATGTCAACAGACTTCTATTGAATGTAATGAAATTTCAGAGATATATCTAAGAATGAGTATTAATTTATTGTTTTCATTATTTTCTTCATTGTTCAATCTATATTGAAATACACGAGAGTAGTTAATGTATACACAATGATAGTTTCGACTGATAACGAACGAACAAAAACAAAAGTAACAAAAGAATCGCTCACAAACATTACTTTAATTATTGATCTCGGTTGAATTGTTTGAGTGACAATATTTTTGATCACCAAATTTTTCGAACATTTTCTTTATAAGATGTTTCATATCGAAGTTTCGAAAAAACTTCGATCATAAAAGAACATTAGACTTTGTAATACGCCTCTGATCTTTAGATCATTGTGATACAAAATAATGATTCAAGTTATGCATCAAGAAAGCAGAAAAAGTTTGCGAACGAATATATACAAATGCTTTGCACTGTA